CACATCCACAGCCCTTTTTGTAGTTTATTTAGAGACAGAATCTTTCTAACTTGCTTAGGGCCTCACTAAGTTGCTGTGGCTGGCTTGGCACTCGCAAACCTCCTGCTTCAGTGTTTGGAGTCACTGGGATTACAGGTGTGTGCCTACAAAGGAATAGCTACTTACTTCCTAAGGAAATAAGTGAATTCCTCAGATTCCACAGGAACATGTGCTTTACTTAAGGTTAATCAGCCAGCAAATAGTTTCAGAGAGTACGCCATAACCCAGTGTTCTGCTTCCTTCTGAAAAGGCTCCTAGACTCCTGGGAGATTCACACTTAAGACAAGTGCCTCTCAAACTTGAATAATGCATCGATCCCTTTGAAAGCATGCAAGCCTTTTACGACCTCCAGTGTTATTTTTATTTACAGTGGTAACTTAAATATTAAAAACACAAACTACACAAAAATTCTCATACTACTATAAAACAATTTTTACTAGCAATTAAACTTTACTAATAGTCTTCAAGTAAACGACACCAATTAAATACAGTGGATAAAAATGTCTAAAACTGACTCACAGATACTGGGTGTCATAATAAAAAGATATGACCTCAGAGTTCCACATTTAATTTAATGTTTCTGAATTTGACTTCAATGAAGACAATAAAAAGAATACCTAGTTTTGTAAACATGTAGAAACTATTGTTAATAAGTTTAAAGTTTTATTTCCTACTTCAGGATAATAAAACTTAGAGCTATTAAAGGGATTTGCTAGTGTCCATTTTAATGGCATGGTATTTGATAATCTTTTAAAGCTCTATTGGAGATGAAACTGGTATTGTGATAGAGATGATGGTTACTGAATTCAGTAAAAGCTAAAATTGAATTAAAAGCTATAATCTAAACCTGAAAAATGTTCACTGTGGATTTTCTACAACAATGCATGCAGGATCATGCAAAGAGCATCTGAGCCACATATTAATTGGACATGAACTTGCTGCTGCTTGCTATTGTTCAGACTCTTGGTTTATCATGCTTTCACCATTCTTGCCATGTCCCTCTCTGCACTACAGCAAAACTTTTGGCATATTATGCCTCTGAATGCCACTTATACTTCACTTGTTATGTATGCACTGAATTATAAACACAAATGCATATACCCAAATCATATATTTGTTCTCTGTTTTAGGGTAGCCATCTAGATGAACTGGAATATGCTTTCATTTTCTTTATTCCATTACTATTGAAATATAAGCATAAAATTTAAAAACCCTTGTAGCAAACTCAGATACCTGTGAGTGTGCCCCTTTAGGATAGGTGTTTCCAGGATATGCGTGTCCCTCATTGCCTTTCAAGTCCCTCCTGCTGGGGGCTAAGAAAGTTTTTCTACTTTTCTAACATTCAGACTTTTTAAAAAAGAAGAGAGAAAGAAAGGGAAAAAGAAAAGTACAAAATTGTGTCAAAAGTACAAAATTGAAAAATTTTAAGAGGAAATTTTTCTTTCTTGGCTTTAGATATGACACTAAGGTTGTAAAGAGCAAGCTTTAACGGCTTCCATCTGTTGCAAATTAAAATAGGTAGGACTTGGCATTTGAATTCCTTGTCCAGAGTCAGACTTAATAGGCGTAAGCACAATTGGTTTTAGGGTTTGAGGGTCCTAAAAGCAGCAAAGCAGAGAGAGGTTAGTTTTACATTTGTCTGAAACTTTCTCCCAAAGGTATTGACTGCTGTTGCCTCGTCTTAAAAGATTTTAAAAGGCGAAATCTCCTGGCTGAGCAAAGAAAATGGTAGTTTGAAAACATACTTTCCCCTTCCTCATTCTTGATTTAAAAACTTTTTTTTATAATCAGAGGGAAATATAGAATGGTGAACACTACTGCACCTCTCTCCATCTGAGCATCTGAGTTTCTTTCAGCTCTTTATTGAGTAAAGATAACCAAACTGTTTAACTGTTTATCCAAAGCTCTTTTGTCAAGAACTTTAATCACGGATTGACCTCATTGTAGGGCAGGCAGCATGTGTGTGTGTGTCTATGTGAAAGGGGGAGAGGAATGTAGATTTCTATGTAAGAAGACAGGTTTGACCACAATGTTATCAATTCATGTATAAATTTTGAAACCTCATTTTAATTTCATCCACAATATCCACATTCTTGAAACATTTTACAATAACATTTTCATTTAATGCATTTTCTCACTTTGGGAAAACTAAATCCCTTAATGGGGTTCTAGAAGAATTCATTGTGCACCAAAGTATACTCTGACTCAACTGCAGAAGAGGTCCCTGGCAGGATGGCTGGGATATTACTTTTCCGTTGGGTCTAGCCCCTCCTGAACACTGGGAACATTGTTTGCTGAAATTCCAGGGATTAGCTGTAACTATTTGACTTGCATTCACATTATAAAGGTTTGATTCAGAAAAGAGAAAAACAGTTTTAAAAAAATGTCTAGTTACTATGTATCAGCAAAAGCAGTCCTACCTATCTACCCTATCCCTAGGAAGTTCAAAGAGGGTGTATTGGGTGCTGCTCTATGATGCCTGCAGCCCCTGCAGCCCCTCTAGGGATTTGCAGTGGTGTCTCTAGGTGTCTCTTCATCCCACTGGGGTTAGTCTTTCCCTCTATTTGACTTTCTTATGCTAAGGTTGGGTATGTTAGGCATGTGGAGAGAGAGTGTGAGAAAGAGAGAAATGTCTTTTTCAAATGGTAGCTACTTTTTCATTTCTTTCCTCATTCCCAAATGAATAAGTTTCAAGATAGTTTATCTCAGTCAACTAGATTTTTCTAGTTGCACGTAGATGGCCCATAGATTTGAAGGTAGAGATGGCAGCTTAGAATTCTCTCTCTACCTGAGGCATTCTATATAGCTAGTGTTGTGATTTACAGAATGAATATGTAGACAAAGGGTGTAGTGTGGTCAACCCAAATGAAACATTTATTGCTCATAAGTCAGGAATCCATGGTAACATCTGCTTTGATACTTTGGAAGAGTGGGGACAGAATAGCAAAGAGATTTCTAGCTCCCAGTCTGATGAGCATGAATTAAATCTTAAATCTTCCACGGAATCAATCAGTGATACTGGAAACATTCCAAACCTCTCCCCTCACTTAATAAATGAGCATAATATTAGTTCTTTCTTCTTAATATTCCTGTGAGTATTGATAATTTAATGCATATGATTTCTTTATTCTAGGCCCACAGTAAACACTCAATAAGTGGTACCTATAATTATTTGTGTACAAATTGGAAGTCCTTTCTAGGAACAACCTTTAATATGTTGCACATAGATTTGTTTTGGAAATAAACCTGTTCATGAAGGAATAATACTTTCATATTTTATACCTGTGACATAGTATTATTTTATTTGTATTGTCTTATAGTGAAAAGATAAGATTTTTTCGTGAGATGTTGGTGTAACATAGCCCTTTCACTTATAAGGCCTATGGCAAGAAACCTCCTGGAATTTAGCATTTGCTGCAAACAGCAAAATAATTTCATAGATTACACATTTTATGATGAGTCACAATTCAGTCACTGCAGCATTGCAGATCTACTTAGGGCACTCTGCCAGGGGCACAGCTTTCAGGAAGGATGAAGCGTGAGGTGTCGCCGGGATGTGGGGAAGGAGAACAACACTTTTTTAGTATTAATCACACCATGATACATTTCTAAAGAATCAGAGCATGAACTCTGGATGTGTAGATTTCCATCACATCTTTCAACTCTTAATAAATATCTCTGATTTGTAAGCCTACAAGCCATTGTGGTGTTTGGGTTAAATGTGAGGTTATTTAGTCCTAGGGCTTTTCAATCTTCCCATGTGTAAATCATTTTAGCAGTATGCAAGCAATCCCATATTTGAAACTCCCAGAGAAAATACTTTCATTTCTCTATCTGTACATCACCACAAATCATAAATAAATAGCTCTGACAGAGTGTGCTGAGAGTCCTTGCAAAGCACAGGCTTCCACAGAGGGAGACAGGGTACCCCAGGGAGGAGAAGGCAGTAAGAGTCATCAAAGCCTCATCTCACTTCCAAATGTGTAAATTAGATTCCTCTTCATGCTACCATTTTCTCTTTCGTGTGACATTCTATCACAAGAAATATTATAGTAGTTATGCAAGGGGCCCGGACCCTAGCAAAAATTGATCGTCAGTATTATGTTAAAGGTTAAAAGTTGGGCTTATTAATCAAGCTGAGGGGATTGTAGCTCTGTCCCTGGAACAACTCTTCTCAGGACTTTTCAGGAGAATTCAGCTGATTCTCCCAGTATCAGATTTTCAAGAGTGTGGGAAGATGAAAAACTTTTTTTTTTTTTTTTTAAAAAAAAGCAGTCTCCATCCAGAGCGATTGTCTTTACCAAGAGATGGTATTATGTCAGCTGGTTTGAATTTAGTCATGTTTTTCCAAAATCACGGGAATCATAGAATTTGCATCAGCCCAGTCCATACCTGCCAAGGAATGCTATCCCCTTCCTTCAAAGCACCCTTATTCTCTGATAATGAGGACTGATGACTCTTTAGTGACCTATACTCAGTTCTTTGGCAGACCCATCTGAAAACTGACAGTAGAAAAAGACAGACAGAAAGAAACCCAGGTTCTCCTCTTTTTTTTTTTTTCCTTTTTAATTTCTCTGATTCTTTTTGACTCGACACTAGGCTTAATATAAAGTCATTCAAATCCTGACACTAAAATAAACGGTAATAGTGGTTTTTGGAACAGTATAAGTTCATTTTTAAATGTGGTTGAAGATTTGGAATAAAGCAATAATAATTTTCATTTTAATGTCCTTTTATACTCTTTAATATAGCAGAGCATATTTCCCAATGACTTTTATATTCTTAAACAACATCTAGGAATATTGTGAAGTTGTTACCTTTTACTGTGAATGATATTCAATGTTTTAAAGTTAGTATTAAATTTTTTTTTTCTGACTTGCAGTATAAACATTCTTGCCTTTCTGAATGGGATGTTTTCACTTTATCCATCACTCACAGAGGTCTTTTCTTCTACCCCACAGTCTGACAGCAATGCAAGCTTCCTGCGTGCTGCCAGAGCAGGCAACCTGGACAAAGTCGTGGAGTATCTGAAGGGGGGTATCGACATTAATACCTGCAACCAGGTAAGAGGTGGTGGTGGCTCTGCACAGCATCAGAGCAATGCAAAAGCAGCCCTCCAGAGTTAGACTCAGAGCCCAAGGCTATTTTTTGTTTTCATTGAATTTCCTGGTACCAAGGACTTGGTCTTATGCAACCCCATTTTTGACTCTTACTAACTTTTCAAGCATCCGATGTTTGTTTCTAGAGTTAATATTGTTGGCAAAGTAGACAGATCAAAAATAACAATTGAATATCATTTTCCCTATAAAATGATCTGGACCATCCTCAGTTGAAAAATGAACCAAAAACGTTTTACTCCTCATTTATCATCCTCTAGTAATCTAGGTCTGAATTCTTTCCTTTTCTGTTAAATGTGCATTTTACTCAGGAGTAACTGGTGGTGAAAAATTTGAGGTAGAGAAATAAAAGGATAAAATCAAAAATTTTCTTCCTTTTTACCTGAGCTAATTTGAAAATGTGGGTTATAATGAGAAAAACTGAAACTACTGTGTTGGTTTAAATGAAGTATTTGAATTGTTCCTTCATCACATCTATTGAACAAATACTTTAGAGTATATACTTTTATATTATTTGCTTTCAATAATATTAATATTTTCGTGCCATTTTGGAGTAAGACTTTTATACCATAAATTATCTAGAGGACCCTGGTGTTTTCTACATTTTGCTCAATTTTTTTTTTTGGTGTGTGTGTGTGTGTGTGTGTGTGTGTGTGTGTGTGTGTGTTTGACAGAGATCTAACTGAGAAGTAAAGAATCCTGGCCAATTTTATGTTAATAGGAGGTAAATTCCATTATTTGATTCTAAATCATCTATAGAATGCTTATTTCTATATCCCAGTATATATTCAGCCCAGTTATATTTAATTTATAAGCCACCAAATTTATTAAATCTCTCCAATGTGACATTTCAAAAGCTTAACTTGGTCTTTTCTTATCCCCAGACTTATTCTCCCAATTTCCTACCCTCTAGTTTATCCTCTAATAGGTCAGTTCCAACCCAACTGCTCCTTATCCCTCATCTCCTTCCTGTAGCCAGGGGGTTTTTCTTCTATGAATCTCCTCACCTCATGGTCACTTACCAACATGGTCAACATAGCCTCCTTAATTAGCTCTGTCTTATCCATTCTGGACAGTTCTCTATACTGTCTTGAATGATCTTTCTAAAATGAAAATATGATTATGGCACTTCCCTTTTCCCCCAAACTTGCTACAAATGCCCAGAATAGTGAGGTGGCTGTATCAAGGTCATCTCATCTGGAGGCTAATTTTACAAAGGGTACAGAACATCTCTTGCACCTCCTGAGAATCACTGGCATGGAAAACATTGTCACTGATAGCAATACTTTTCATCCTTTAGGAGAGTGTGTCTCTTTTCATGAAAAAATGTTGAGAGCTATTTGCCCTTGAGAAAGGCATCCTGCTGTGACCCTGAGCATTCCTGCAGATATTCTTGGAGATAACAAGAATAAAAGGCCTGGGCCTGGGTTTCATCTGGGCCATTTCTCAGGGTGATGCCTGCAGTGAGGAATTGAGGGATTAGCAACACCTCCCTCTTAGACACAAAGCAGGCTGCCTGAATCCCCCAAGATCACTGCTGTCACGCACAGGCACCCATCATTGGTCCTTTGTGTCCACCAAGTTAGCTTTGGTGGAAGAAGGGCATAGGGAACTGGTATAAGACAGTGCTGATGCTAAGCAGCTGCTATTGCTATGAATTAAAAATCCTTTTTCTCTGACCCAGATTTGTGTCTTATACTCACATCATGAAACAGTAACAGTTTAGCTTTATAACTTGTAGGTCAAATAAAATCTCAAACAATTTGACCTTAAAATATACTAGAGAGTGGACCATGAAGCTATTTGCTCATTTAGGGCAAAAATTTCATAAATAATGCCAAAAAAGGGAACCCAAGATAAATGAAGCTAATCTCATTTCAAACTATGTTTACTTCACCTTCAAATAGAACAAACGTGTTAATTTTGCAAAAGGTCTTAGGTTATTTTAAGAAACGATACTCTTTTGGTAGTAAATACTTACTTTTATCAAATTTATAGATCAACCTAACTTTTTAAGGTAGCTCAAGGTGTTGCTAATAGGCCATTTTTTTTTCTTTTGTAGTGGCCGCCAATCCACTAACATGTCACTGTAAACAAGAACTTTTATTATTCTGAGAACTCAATATGATATTATAAAATCCTTGCAAAATTTATATCCCACAGGCTCAAATTGGAGTCTCACACTTTTGCAAAGTCATTTCAATTCAGAAAGTGGAATAACAATATGCACAATACTTACATCCCTGGTTGCAATGCAAGTTAAATTGTGAAATGGTAAAAGATATTTTTCTGTTTTTGTTTTTGTTTTGTACTGAGGGTTGAACCCAGAGGTGTTTTACCCCAGAGCCGCATCCCCAGCCCCTTCTTTTTATTTTATTTTTTATTTGGAGACAGGATCTCACTAAGTTGCTTAGGTCCTTACTAAGTTGCTTAGGTTCTTGCTGAGTTGCTGAGGCTGTCCTCAAACTTGTGATCCTCTTGCCTCAGCCTCCTGAGTTGCTGTGATTACAGATGTGCACCACTGTACCCAGATGGTAAAGGACTTTCTAAGGGGTATGCATTCTATTTGCAATTTCTGGGTATGAGTCACTAAGAATCAGAAAAATCAAAACCTCTATACAAACTATGAGATTGATTTTTCTAATCACCTGAATTTAGTAGGTATAGTCTATAGGTCTGGTGTTGGGTCTTTATTATTACTATTCAGGAATGTGTATTAATTAAACAGATTTGGACATAAAGTGAATAATATTAAATAATTAACTATTTTGTATCAGGTTTCATGCTGGGGCTTTTCATGATATTTTATCCATCAGCTGAGAAAATAAAGGTATGAGTTAAGGGTTAGCACAAGTTTACAAATGCAGAAACTGAGCCCACAGATGGTTAAGTGATTATTCTCAGAGTCACAGACATCTGTTTCTCACGTCCAGGTTTATCTATTTCAGGTTATCTCTTTGAGGAGATATCTGGTACTGTCCTTTGAATTATACAGTGGCAGTGTGCTTTATCTTGAAGCTCAAACTTACTAATAATCTACCATTATTAATATATAAGATCTTTATTCTCCTTAGGTTAATATAAAAGGTAGTTTAAAAACTTGTGAGTCAAAGAGCACCACCACCAGGATTTCTCCTAAAACTCCAGTAAAATGTAGAACAAAATAATTTCCAAGTACTCAGGAGGGCAAAAGAGAGAAAGTATTGCTATTTCTAATTATGTGTAATATTCAATGAAAATGTATCCTCTATTTTGCTTCTAAGCCTGAGTTTCTAAGGAGCATTATGATATGTAACATACAAACCAGAACTTTCTGTACCCTGTTGTATTTCTCAATGAAAGACAATCTGGGCTGTACTAGCTTTCCAAAAATATCACATGTGTTGGCATGCTAAGATTTTTTTTAAACTGAATTTGAATCAGAATTTTTTTTTTGTTATAAAATTTGTCTTATAACTACCATGAGAACTTTAAAATTTAATCCAAAATTATCATGTGGCTTGTAATAACTTGAAGGACATGGAAATAATTCATAAATTTGGCACAGTATCTCCCAAAATCTGCAGGTTTTCATTTTTCTTTTTACTAATGACTATAAACATATTTGTTACCTTTTATTTATAAGATTAGACTCATAATTTATTTACCTTGTTCTACTTTCAGAAAAGAGTAAATCTTAGCTTTTACTTTATTTATGTAACTTATAAATATTTTATCTATTTAGTAATTACACATGATCTAAGACTATTACAAACAAGATTAACATCATAGCATTAAAAATAGATTGTATAACATTTTCATAAAAATGTATTGATGGTTTAAAAGTCAATAAAATCTCTGGAAGTTTCAGATACTTTTATCATCTCTAAATTTATTAGTTTCACTCTAGAGACTTTAAAATGAAGTGCTATCACTTAGCATTTATTGGCTATAATCCAAATATGACACCAACTAATGATTAATACTTCTTAAAATGTCCTGGGTTTTGGTCTTGATCTTTTACCACTAAGTTGTAAAGGTACAAAATCATCAGTTGAAGCTTATGTTTCCTTTCTCAAAAACAGAAAATGAAGTAAATGTACCATTTTTAAGACAATACTAATGTTCCTAAAATACTAGGCCTCTTGTTCCTAAAATAACAAAGGGATAAATTCAACAATGACTTTAGCATATACTCACATACTATGACTCAGACCATAACACATTTTTGGAAGTCTTGTTAAAATATGGGTGGTGGAATCCAAATTCTCATTTTCTGCACTCTCCAGGTAAGAGATCCTGGGCAATCAATTTCTCTAGGCCTGAGTATTCTCAACTGTAATGACCATAGCAACACTGAAGTCATGGGCCTGTGTTGATGATTAAATGATCTGGTTGCAAGGTGCCTAGCAGAACAAGTACTCAGTAAATACTAGTGAAAATGACAATCCATATTACCATAATATAATCTCTTGATATGGATTTTCAACCTAAGCTTTAGCAAAAATAGTACAGATCCTTACAGGCATGACAGAACATTAAATGGCATTACCATAGCCAGTTTCATAAAATAGGAAAGATTATGTTTAATAGTAGTTTAATAATGGTTACTGTTTATCTGGGTTGCATTAAACTGAAATATTTTTTCTGAAACTAAACTTTTTTTTCACAAATACCATTTGGATCCATCTGGTTTGAACCTCTCTAAAAATAATGACAAAACCAATTTTATTAACCTGAGACTAAGATAAGAGAGAGAGAGAGAGAGAGAGAGAGAGAGAGAGAGAGAGAGGGAATTGAATTTATAGAATTATTAGACCATAAAATGAACTATATTCAGTAGTCTAACCAATTAAATCAGGCACAGATATATACATAATTTACATAGCTAACTACCCATATGCTTATTATTGACCCTTTGTTTAGAAAAAGCAAAGGGTGTTTGGTTTGTTCTGGCTTTGTGTGCC